ACTGAAAACCCCTTTATTTCACAAGTTATAACAGCTTATGAAAAAAACACCAGAAATGAAACTATTTTACTTTAAATACAAGATGAAAGTCTTTTGTTAAAGGGAAAAAAATTAAGACTATTTATCATTCTCTAAAGAATAAACTGTTTAATAAAAACTTATTTAGGGGCAAACCCTAAAGGATTCGTGGATAGATTAAAGAAACATTAAAACTTTAAATTGTTCTGATTACTAAAGTCATTAAGGCTTGGAACATATCCCTGTCCTGTCTTTATAATGTGGCAGTTGAACAGGAACTCGCTAAGGTTTCCTCGAGGACTAGAATTTTATCGAGTTATGATGTCACTCTGCTCCAGAGTGTTGACCCTTCTTACCCATCCCTGTCCCACTAGCTTCCCCTTACTCAGACATACCAGAGCAGACAGAGGGAGGGGCCTGAGAAGACAGGTACCCAGGCTTCGGGCAGACAGACCTGGCCAACCACAGCTCTTCCACCCAGTGCTGCAGCAATCATCCAACCTTTCTGCGTAGTTTTTCCAATTGTAAGACAGGAAGAGCAATGCCAAACTCCCAGAGGTGTTTGGAGGATTAAATAATGGAGTTCTGCCCAGGTCTGGCACTCAAATGTACTCAATAAGTGACAGTTGTTAAAATTATCTGCTATCCAGGTTAGTTCATTCAATAGCTAATGTTAACTCAAATGAAACAATTCATCAGTCAGTAGGTTAAAGTTTACGGAATCCTTTATAAAGTCTATGGACTTTCCATTACATACAACTTTCACTTACTTATCCATGGATTTGTTATCAACACTAAGAAAATTCTGAATTGTTAGTCATCTATTCATCTTAAATGACACAAACTGGTCTTCACTTAGTGTTTTCTATGAGAAAGAAGGAGAGACATTTTATGCCAACATATTCTTAGAGAAGGCATGAAACTATTATATTTAAACAGAGGTAAACTACACAATGATGCTGTCTCTTCTTGGTATTGAATGAAGGGCAGAGACAGAGTGAAGGAAGCAGAGGTCCAAGAGGTTAAGAGAGGCTCATGAGAAGCTAGAAAACACCTTGCAGGGCTGGAATCTCAATCAAGATTAGTGTGAYTGCCAAAGCTCATGTTCGGTGCTAGTTGTGGGCCAGCACTGGGCATATTTATTTACAGATGGTGATGTCATCTTTTAGGGCAACACTCTACTGGGCCATCAGGATCATATTTAAATAAGAATACATTCAAGTGTAAAAACACATTCCTCAGTTTGACAGATGGATTTTGGCTTATCTTGTATTTAAGATTATAGGTGGAGCTGGAGGTGGAGCTCAGTGGTAAAGCCCCTGGCTAGCACGTGACAGGCACTGGGTTCGATCCCCAGCAGTGTGCTYGTACCTGCCCGCATGCGCACACACACACGTAGATACAACTTTCCAATTCTACTAACATAAATAGCAAGGAGTTTTCTTACAATGATCCTTCCTCCGAAAAACACTTAAAATACCAAGAGTAAATTTTAATTAAAGTAATCTTATGATCCTATACATTTATATAAACCCCAAAGATTCATTACTTTAAATAATCAAGCATTACATATACTGATACAGAAACCAAAATTTCAATAAACATTTTAAACGGCTCTGAAATATACTGTTAGGTTGACCACTTCTTTTTGCTAATGCTATTATGCTATATGGCTGGTCAACATAATTGCTCTTAATGGGTTTTTCTTACAAAGTTAGTATGGTTCCATTTTAAATAAGTGACACACCAGACTCCTAACCTTGACTAACTAATGCCTATTATTGTTCATAAAGGGGCACTAAAAGTTTGCATATATTATTTCACTCACCCCATTTTTAACTTAATGTAGGAAAACACAGTGGTTAGGAACATCAATTCACCTTGCTAATTCAGGCTCCTGTCACTCACTTACTAAGTGTGTTATCTTGGACAAGCTTATTCATCTTTCTAAAACTCAATTTTTCATCTTTAAGTGATAATCACTACAGTGCCTACCTCAGAGGGTTTGGTAAGGACTTATGATTATACAAAGTTCTCACTATGGTGTTCGGAATATGTAATTAAACATTAACTATTACTATTTTGCTATTTTTAGTGTTATCATTATTTCTATACTAAATATGAAATATGTAAGGATTAAAGAAGCTAAAACACTTTATTCGGGATCTTATCCTGGGTATGCTGAATTCCAAAGACCAAAGCTACTTCCACTCACTAAGCAATTCTTGTTTAATTAATGATGTCTTAGTTGGCCACTGGTATTGATAAATGTGGACAAGGCTGGTAAAATCTGTGTAAGTAGGCAACAAAAATGGGAGATTTTAAAATTTATCCTTGTTGCCTTAATTCTGTGAACATGTAAGAATTCATAGATCATATGTAACTCCATTTCAGGTCTACTTTCAATTACTCATTTTACTTAAGTGGGGTTGAAGAAAGAAAAGTTTTAAAGTTTATATTAATATCTCAATTTCTACTTATTGTCAAGGCATTTCCATGAGTTGCAGTGGCCTTTATCCTTTCATATCTATATAAAGAACTAAAATTTAAATGAATGCTAACAAAGCAGAAATGATTTGTTCAAAGCATAACAATAGTTGATTGACCACTTGTACTATCAGGTTGGCAAGTATGGTCCAATGAGGTAGCAAACCCAGAGGCTTCTACACTCTTTTTTTTTTTTTTTTTTTGCGGTGCTGGGGATTGAACCAAGGACCTTGTGCATGCGAGGAAAACACTCCACTGACTGAGCTACATCCCCAGCCCCTCCCCTTTTTTCTCTACAGTCTTATAAATAGATTAAAAATGGAATAACACCACCACCATCACCTCTGTTTATTGAGATGGCATTTACTTAGGTGCAGCTATAGTACTCTGCATATCCTACATCTCATTTAAATCTAATATAAGGAACATGCCTAATTTCACAAGGGTTGGGATTTGAATTCAGGTCTGACTCTAAAAGCAATTTTTGTTATTTTTAAATTTCTTATAAAATAGCTGACTTTGACAAATGTTTCTTTTGTCATATCTCTGATCCATAATCCATCAAAACTGGCATAAGAACGTGTGTCTTTCTGTCAGATGAAATCTGTGACAAGTAACTGAGCCTGCCAGAGGTGGTCTGGGGGCTGTTCTTTCTTCAAGTCAGGTAGATGCTGTGGAAAGGTATGGACTGCTGTTACAAACCTAATCTGATGAGCTTCTCTCAAATTCATAATGATTACTGACACAATGACACTGAATTTCCAAAGTCAAGATGGTAATGAAAGCAAAGAGTACCATGAATGATTGAGGGCTCAGCTGCCAAGTTACTAGTACATGATGGAAAAATGACTAATTGCTGTCCGACAATATCTCTAACAATAAACATTTCAAAATATGAAATATATCTGTGGCATAAGTGACTTGGCTTGTTTGCTACTCTCATGATCTCAAGCTTGGACAATATTACTCTCTGAGGGTCAGTTTCTCATTCAAGGCTGATAATAATACCTGCTGGATCTATTTCACTGGTGTGTTAGAGGGAGAAAATAAAGTATGTGGAAGTGCTTTCAAACCTGTCAAGTTGTACATAAGAATAAATAATTTAATAATAAATAATTTTAAAAATGTAAATAAAGAATTGAATTTTTGTATATACTTAAATTGCCAATATTCAGTTATTTAAAAAAATTTTTTTAGTTATAGGTGGACTCAATGTCTTTATTTATTTATTTTTATGTGGTGCTGAGGATTGAACCCAGTGCCTCACATGTGCTAGGTAAGAGCTCTACCACTGAGCCACACCCCCAGCCCCAATAYTTGGTTATTGATATCAGCATTTCCATTCTATGTCTTTSTATTTTAGAATGGCCAAGGGGGACAAAGAAAGAATAAAGTTAGGCAGAAAGATGTGAGAGCTGCCATTACCATTTTCACTCAAATTAAGTTTTCTAGATAAGTCTGAAGTTAAAAATACTGCAAAGTTATTGGTAATAGATCTGCTATAGGTCAAATTTATATTTATTATGTTGAAAAAAATTACTCACTATTATTTGAAGTCAAGTTCAAACAGAGAAGATCACTTTTATAGGTTAGGGAAAGGATCTCTGAGGGATTGTATGGATGGCACTCTGAATAGAAAGTTGCTATTTTAGAAACTTTAAACAAAATTTTGAAATCAACCAGTCAACAAGTATAATAATCCCAAGAGCCATGGAGAAAGAACAAAGTCATATGGGCAGAGGCCATGTCCTGTGCCAACAGGATGGAGGTCCTGGCTCCTACAAAATAGCAGGATCTTTCAGTTTCTCTGGATGAACTCTGTTTACTGACAAGGTAAACATCTCTGCTATGTGGAATTACTTTCTGCTCACAAGTCAGACTGCCAGACCAGCCTAGAGGCTCAGGCTAAGAGCCTCAGAACAAGTTCTAATCTTGTTAATGTAGAAAATGGAAGGAATAAGAGATGCTACTCAAAATACTGTAGACAGTCAGAACCCTGAATAAATGCCAGAATGGCTCTCCAGAAAGAAACCCAAGTCAGAAGTCCTTCCCTGGGCCTTGCTATCCTCTTAAAGCAGAGATATGATTTTGTATGTGCTTAGAAAAATGGGTTCTGTTTTTCCCAGGTATCTAATAGTGCAAAATATTATGCAGTATACTTGATAATTAACACAAATATCATTCACTCTTTAAAATTACAGATTTCTAAAAACAAACCAAAAAAAAAAAAAAAAAAAACCTGCCAGAGATTAGCACAGTTAATACAGAATTTAAGCTAAGAACTTTTAACATCTTCAAGTGTACATGGGTTGGGCTTGATTACAAGCTTATGGCTTCCAGAATTAAAATTAAACTTTCAACCTTATTACAAATGGATTTCCAGTTAAGTTATGGGTGATTTACATCCAGAACACAGATAGAATTGCTGGCTTTGTTTACCTGTGTTTTTCACTAGGACTTTGTTCAGATAGTGCCGAAAATGATAAACTGCTTACTTTTTCATGCTTGTGTTTCTCCTTGTCTTTCTCTCTCTTCTCTCTCTCTCTTTTCTCTTTCTCCCTTTCCTTCTCTTTCTTCTCCTTCTCTTTCTCTTTCTTTTTCTTCTTCTCCTTTTTGTCTTTTTTCCTTTCTTTCTCTTTAGGTTTCTCTTTCTCCTCAAATAGTTTTTCGGGGAGCATTGGTGACAAGGCAGGCAGCATGGAGGGAACCCGCACTGCTGCACTAGGGCTGAACAAGGGCAGAGCCATTTCTTTGGGGGGCAATACCAGTGGTGCGGGTGGGGCCTTCATCTTCTCTTCTCTACCTTTATCTTTAAGTTTTTCCTTTTCTCTCTTATCTTTATCTTTCTTGCCCTTTTCTCTATCTTTCTTCTTATCTTTATGCTTTTCTTTCTCCTTCCTCACAATTCCATCTTTCAATCTCACTTTTGGATCAATGTCTTCGAATTCTTTTATTTTAAACTTATAGGGATCTGATTCTTCATCTTTCAGAAACTCCTTCCATGGGTACTTCGTTTCCTTGCCAACTTCCCTTTCTTTCTCCTTCTCTTTAATTTTATCTTTCTCTTTACTTTTTTCTTTGCTTCTGTCTTTTTCCCTCTCCTTATCCCTCTGCTTTTCTTTCTTTTTTAATTTAGTCTTCAGTTCTTTTTTCAACTTCTTCTTTACCTCCACTGATGAAGGCAGCTTGGTTTTCTCCTCATACACAGTGTGGAGAGGTTCAGGAGTGGGAGGAGAAATGGAGGGAGAAGAGATATAAGGGAAGCTGGGAGGTACACTGGCAGGGGTTCCTAGTTTCGCCTTCCGCACCACCTCGTCAATGGAGGCATCCATCGTCCATGAGTTATCAGAACTTGAAGTTCCCCCTGAAAGAGGAAGAGGAGTGGATCCTGACTTGGTGAAATTGTTCGAAGAAGTGGAAGCTTTTGGAGTGATACACTCCGAACCTGAAATTCTCTTAGGGCTGGTAAAAATATCTCCTTCAGATTCTGATCCAGAAGAAAATTCGAAAGGATCTGGCTCCCGTTCAGCACAGGCTCGAGCAATCACAGCATCAATAGAGTCATCGATCGTTTTGTCCGTCACCACAGCCTTTCTCGGCTGAGTCTCATTGTTCAGTTTCCCAGCATCGGGGGGAGTTTGTGTTTGTTTTATCTGGATGGTGTCTTTACTAATTTTTTCACTTACTGTGGCTGAAGGAGTCCTATTTGGTGTTTCAGGTCTGATAGGTGGTTGGGGAATATGAGACATAATCTTGGGGCTTTTGGGGCTTTTGGGGCTTTTAGAACGTCCAGGTGATTTCTTTTCTTTGGAGACAGTTTTTGGGGAACGAATAGGACTTCCAACCATTGCTGGTGACTGGGTAGTTTTAGGTGACTTAGTTTTCTGTCCTGGAGAACTGGTTTTGGTCTTTGTTTTGGGTGGAAATGACTTGGTTTCTAATGGCTTTGCAGTCGGCATTTGTGATTTTGCCACTGGAGCCAACATGGGTGGCTCTGGTGATGGAGGTGCGAGGTCTGTATTGTCCTGTACATGGACTGGAGAGAGCATTGGAGGGATCTTTTGTGTATTTATTGAGCTGAGTGGTTCTCGAGCTTCCAATAATACTACATCTAGTGTGTCCCCTTTAGTGTTTAATAGCCGAGGTCGTTTCATGGCAGGTATTTCTTCAGCTTCAGGACTGTCCAATGGTCTTTTACCCAAGAAATTTTCATCATTAATAATTTCCTCCTCCTCCAATTCATCATCTTCTTCCAAGGGAACTTGCATGGCTTCTGCTGATGTGCCCCCATCAGTGGGTACCTGCTCTTCTTCTTCCTCTGATAAAAAAAGAAAAAAGAAGTATTATTAGAATGTAACAAAAGCTAATAAAAACAATGCTTCAAAGACAATTTCTAGGAAAGAAATGAAACTGTTTGGAGAGTAAAGCTGAAAGTTCCCAAGGCTCTTCCCTACCTGTGTGCCATCCTTCGTTTAAGAGCAATAGTCAGTGATGGCAGATGTATAAACTAATTGTTTTCCTCTCAGGTTACCTGGCTCTAATTTCAGGATCTAGACTTTGCTAAGTATTTCCAGTTTTTCTTCTGCTGCTTCCTTAAGGAGCTCTTTTCCTAACCTGAGTAAATACTGTCTATCAATTTCCATGTCCTTCCCATGCCCCACCCCACACATATACACACACCCCTCTAGAAATCAAGAGATGGGTTATTATATGACTACCATCCTCAGAAGCAACAGAAAGGCATGCTTTTTAAAAAATTTCTGGAATAAATTTCAATTTTCTGAATATAATTATTTTCCTACTTATAACTTATTTTTTTTGATGTCAGCTGTTTGAGAGGCAGTATGTATAATACAATATATTTTGTTCAGACTTTGGAAAGATGATGTTTCAGCTAGAGTTCTGGCACTACAGAGCAACCAGCCTTGGGCAATCTGTCAACCTCAAGGAGGCTGCTTCCTGACCTTTCAAAAGGGACCAATGCTACTTGCTCTACCTACTTGACAGGGTTGCAACATCAGATTATTTCTTTCTTTATATATTAATTTAGCATAAAATAGACTGAAAGAGCTCAGGGAGAATTCATAACTTAAAAGAGCTCAAAATTTAGTGGGAAAATAATGCTAATGTGTATAGCACACAGAAAGTGATAAGTACCATAGACAAAGTGCTATAAAATTCAGAGGAAAACAGATCACAGCAATGTTAATCGTGGGGAAAACTTAGTAATTATACAATGTTTGGAATATCTGGAATTGGGAGTGGCAAAGTCCAGGATGAAGGATCAGATGACAGAGACAGAAGTAGAAAACAGTAAGCATATAAGAACTAGGGAATAATTTCATTTGTTTGGAAAGTAGGGTGCAAAATGAGAAGCAGTGGAAATAAAATTTAGTAAAATTGTATCCAGATCATAGAACTTTTGAATTCCAGAAAAAGGAATATGACCTTTATTCTACTGGTAATCTGGACAGGGAGGCCTACTGGAACCAACAATGGACAAAAATGGAGACAAACAGAGAAGATGACTGGGATATGTATTAGAAAACTTACACTGGCAGAAATATGGGTGAGTGGGATGGGAGACTAAATAGATACTAAAGGAAAGGGGACAAGTTATAGGGTTACTGAAATGATATAGGTAAAAGGCAATGAAAGTCTAAACTAGAATAGTGGTAACAAATAGGAAGCACAGAGGTAAATGATGTTCTGAAGACAGAATGGATAGAACCTAACAGCAATGAAGTACAAAAGTTGAGAAAGGGTTCAAATACAATTTCAACACTTTGAGGCCTAGAGAGTGATAAATGTAGTCATTAATAGAAACAGGAAATAAGGAAAAAGAGGACAGTGATTACTTCGATGCCTAGACACAGAGTTTGATAAACATTTAGTCAGCAATGTCTTGTAGGCAGCTAAAAACATAATTCCGAAGTTCAGAAAATAGGTCAGGGTGTGTGAGAGAAGGCTCTTTCTTGAGATGATTGAAATCATAATAATAGATGTATGAGCAAGGGTGAAATAAGAGGCAGCAGGTTCAAATATTTTGAAGAATAACTACATATAAAGATAAGGGGAAGAAGAATTAAAGAAATACAGAGGATCGGATGTCAAGGAGACCAGTGGAGCAAGAATTTTAAAAAGGAAGCCTAGAGAATCAAGTCAGGACTCATGAGGCCAATGAGAATGAAGGAGAGGTGGGGGTAGGGGTGTGCTCTCATAATTCCAGCTACCCAAGAGGCAGAGGAAGGAGGATTGTGAATTCAAGACTGGCCTGAGCAACACAGTGAGATCTCATTTCCCAAAGTTGGACAGATAGATAGATATAGGTAGGTAGGTAGATAGATTAGAGAAACAGAACAGAGAAAAGGATGAAGAATAATAGCACCAAAAGTCAGGCTATAAAAGCATTAAGGGGAGATCACAGGACATGGATGAGGCGACAGATGGGAAGCATTCTGCAAACTGTAAAGAACAAGGCGACTTTAGCATATACTTGCTGCTGTTACTTGATAATGACACCATCATCCATCTAGTACCTGGAACAGAAACGCAGGAGTCATAGCAGATTACTTCCTTCCCTATGTCCCCTTCCAATCTGTACCGTGAATACAAGTTTTCTATTCTATTTCCTTTAATATGTTTTGCCGCCATTACTGTCTGCTTAGTCCCAAGCCCTAAAGCCTCTTCTCTGCAACTGTAACAAGTCTCTATCTGGTCTCGGCCTCAGTGGCACCTTCCTCAGAACCATCTTTTACACATGACTTTCTGTGTGTGCACATCTGAGGTGTGGCTCCCCATCTTATCTTTTCACTGGTTCCATCAGAAGTAGTTTGCAAAAGGCATCCCTTGGAGTTGATGAGGATTTTCTGGAATTCGTTCTGAGACTACTACTCAGTAGAGATGAGTTCTCCTATTCTCTATTAAATGGGGGAGTTACCTCCAAAGGTATGGTTTACATGCTGAGCTTCCACAAAAGCTTTGTTGTTAGACTAAAACATGTTAGAAAAAATCATCACTCTAAAATATAAAAATCCAGTTTCTCTGGCATGACTAAGAAAGGTGCTCCATGATCCAGTATGGTAAGTAGCTTCATTCACAGTGGGCCGAAGTGCTCCACCCATTCCAGACACACTTCTGTGCAGTTCCCCAGATACACAGGGCTCTGCCACACTTCAGTGCCTCTGCTCAAGAAACTCCCTTTGCCTGAAATGTCTTTGCCTTCCTGACACACTAGTGGCTATTTTTTCTAAGACTCCCACCAAATGTCCCCCCTTCTGTAATGCTTTTCCTTAGAAACTGGAAATGGCCACTCACCCTCTTTGCTGCATGTATAACTGTATTACAGTTACGTATGTAACAAAGAATGCCTAAGGGATTTATTATTTGGCCCTTTAAAGGACCAAATAATCCATGTCCTAGAACTACCATATTCAGATCATGTGAATATTTCATTCCCTCCTTACTCTTATGAGAATGAATTTGCTCAACTGGTAAACATGAAAAATCGGAAAGAAGAAACTTTAGGATATTATCAAAGTGAATGAAATTTTTTAGAATACTTATTAATATTATATTTCTAAATTTCAAAGAATTTCCTTTTACTCTATAGTGATTCATAAATCCCAAAGATGCCAAGGCAGAAAGATAAAGGTTTGGCAGCAATAATGTATTAAAACGAACTCTGACCACATAGGTGGTGCAGGCCTGAAATCCAAAGCAACATGAGAAGATGAGAGGCAGGAAGGTTCCAAGTTCAAGGCCAGCCTGAGCAACTGAGCTAGATCTTTTAAGCAATGTAGCAAGACCCTGCCTCAAAATATAAAAAGGGATAGGGATATAGATCAGTGGTTAACTGACCCTGGTTTGATCCACAGTACAAGAAAAGAAAAAGAAAAAAAAAAAAGAAGGAAAGAAAGAAGAAAAGAGAAAGAGAAAGAAAGACACACTGATTGGAAAAAACGGGGGAAAGGTGCACTTTGTTCTAATTCTGGAGGCTAATTTCAATCTGTCTTACTTTTGAATATGAGTCCTCTAGAGAGCTCCTTAGCAAGATATTGGGAAATGCTCTAACTTAAACAGTCTCTAGAAAGGGGTTACCCAAGGACTATTATACTAGTAAGATAATTTTGAGTCCTCCAGATGCAACAACTGGTTTTTAAGCAGAACAGCTTGAAAAATTGTATTCTGAACATAGTATGCTTGAAATTGTATTATTTTATTAGTGCAATTTTATCAGATTGGAATTGGCAAGATGGCTGCCAGATAGATATTTGAACTGAAGAAAGTATGTCTGGTTTGGCTAGGAAGAAAATTAATAGCTTCATATAAATAACTTAGAAAATTCATTGGTTTGTTTTTAGAGTTAAAATAACTCATAAAAATAATAAAAAACTAATATTGGTTGTTAAATGAAAGAAAAAAATTGGCATAAAACTTGTTTCAAAGTAGGACTACACAAAAACTAGCCAGGATTATATTCTGGTGTTGCTAATTTATTTCTATAAATTTCAAGTCCCTGTTGCCAACATATTAATCTAGAGGTTTTATGTRATTTAAAGTATAGATATTAATTACAATACTACATTATCACAAATGTTGATTTTAAGAATACCTAAAATAAAAAGGTTTGAAAATAGTTTTTTTTAAAGAATCAAGGTTATTAGTTTAATTTATAATTTCCTATTCACTTTTTAAAATCTTATAAGAAAACTTTAATTGTAGTATCAAAATCAATCAAAATGGGCAAAGAACTTTGCTGGAAAAGAAAGCCTTATAATTTTAATAAGAACAGCAGAAAGTATGAAGGCATTTTAAATAATCTTTTAAATGAGTAATTATCTGATACCTACAAACACCACAGTGTATACATAAGGTATAATGCATGATAATGAATAAATACTGTAAAACCATAACCTAATTTCAGAAACAGCATATTAGCAATGTCATTTTCCTGACTTTGGCTCCTTTCCCACTAACCCCTGCTTTCGCTACCCTATTCCAGTCTCTGGATAACTCCTGTTGACAAAAATAAAGTCAAGATTTTAAAAAATCCACCAGTCCCCATTTCCATTATAGTTTCACCACATTTGAATGTAGCTTTCTTGTTTTTGAACTTTACATAAATTTCATACTATGTAATGTTCTTTTGCTTTTTTCTATCCAATATGATTTCTGACATTTACCTAGGTTGATGCAGGTACTATATAGTACAGTTCATTCATTTGCACTGTTGCCGAAATGTTCTACACTTAATTATCCATTCTCCTGGGTAGGGAGTTTTTCCTACTGGAGTGAATGTATTTTATTCTAGAAATA